GCCGCCCGGAAGCGCGAGCGCGTCGCCGTCCCCGTTCTCCGCGCCGCGGTCGACGCCGCGATCGATCGAGGGTCGCGATCGATCGTTATCGTCATCGCGCGGCGGCGGCGGCGGCGGCGTCTCGATCGGGACCCCGGGGTCGATCGACGACGACGGCGAAGGAGGAAGCGACAGAAAGGCCAAGGCGGAGGCGCGACGAAGAGCGGTCATGGCGCAGATGGCGGCGCAGCAGGCGGCGTTCACGCTCGCCGCGCGGTTTGAGGACGACTCCGACGCGTCGGACGACGACGACGCGGACGACGACGTAAACGACTCGCGCGGCGACGCCCCGGTAGATCGTCTGGTGGATCGAATGGAAACCGCGAATCATCCACCGGAGCGCGCGTCGCCGACGACGCTGCCGTGGGAGGACGCGCTCGAGTGCGGTCTGTGCCGCGGCGGCGCCAAACGCGACGACCCGCTCGTGTGGGTCGGCCTCGCGCAGAGGAGCGCGACGCCGGGCGCGTGCCGCCGCCGCGCGCCATCGCGACGGCGCCCGGCGCCGCGTCCGAAGCGCGCGCCGCTCGCGTCGCCGTCGCGGCCGGGGGACGAGCTCGGCGCGTTCGCGCCGCCGCCGATCGCGTACGACGAGGCGTCGGACGAATCGGACGACGACGCGTCATCGGATCCAGTGCCTCTGTTCGCGACGAGGACGTCGTCGTACGTCGATACGTCGGACGACGACGCGTCATCGAATCCAAATCCAGAAGATCCAGATCACCGCCGCGTGGACGCGATGGATATCGACGCGGCGAACGGCGAATCGCGCGAAGACGCGTCGGCGGCGAATCGCGCGAATCGCGCGAAGACGCGTCGGCGACGCGTCTTCGCGTCGGACGGCGAGGGCGTCCAGGTCATGAGCTGCGGGCACGCCGTGCACGCGTCCTGCCACGACCGATTCGTCGCCGCCGCCGTCGGCGTCGGCGTCGCCGGCGGCGGCGCGCTCGGCGCGGAGCAGCTCGCGATGCGCGCGCAGAGCGGGTTACACGGGGACGATTTCCACTGCCCGACGTGTCGGCGGCTGTGTAACGTCGCCGTGCCGGTGCTGCCGCCGCTGCCGTCGCAACTCGCGGAGGCGCGACTCGCGTCCGAGTCCGAATCCGAGTCGACGGCGACGGCGACGACGACGAGCGAAGAGCTTCGCGAGGGGGCTCTGCGGATGCTAACCGAGGCTGGCGCGACGCTCAAAGCGCACATGGAGACGATGGTGCGGTGGCAGGCGCGAGCGGTCGCGGCGGCGGAGGCGGCTGCGGGATCGAACGAAGCGGCGGCCGCCGCCGCCGCCGCCGCCGCCGCCGCGAGCATCACCGACGGCGAATACGTCGAAAAAAAATGCCTCGCGCGACCGGCGGACGCGTCGCCGTCGCCGTCTCCTGCGCCCGAAGCGCTCCACGCCGCGTTTTGGCGCCGCGCGAGGGACGGCGACGGCGACGGCGGCGACGTTATCGGCGGCGACGCGGCGGCGACGGCGACGGCGACCGCGACGCGACCGGAACGGATGCGATCCGTCGCGCGCGCGTTCGCCGCGCGCGTCGACACCGTCGCGACGTGCGGCCCCTCCTCCTCCGCGAGCGCGTCGGCGCCGGAAGAGCCCTCGATGTCGCTCGAGCACGCGCGAGAGTCGCACGCGCGGGCGAGGGCGATCGCGCCGTGGGCGTTGTTGAAGCACAACGTCGCGCAATTGGAGGTGCTCGGCCGACCCGCGTGCGGCGTCGGGAACGCGGAGGAGGACGAGGAGGCGGTCGTCTCGGATACACTGGACGTCCCGCCGCCGCCGCCCGCGGTCCCGGCCGCGGCGAAAGCCGCGGTCGAGGGGCAGTGGCGCGCGATGCGCGAGATCGCGCGACTCGCGTGCGTGGGCGCGCCGCCGCCGCCGGGCGGCGGCGACCCCGGCGCGGCGCGGCCGGCGGCGGCGGCGAAACGCGCCGACGCGCTCGTCACGCTGACGGAAATCGTGAGGCACGCGACGCGCTACGCGGACGACGCGGAGTGGGCGATGGACGCGGGGAGTCTCCTCGCGGAGCGCGAAGGGCGGTGGTCCGACGCGAGGGCGCGGTACTGGCGCGCCGTCGACGGCGGACCCGGGACGGACGGATCGAGCGTGGACACCTGGTCGGAACTGCTCCACCGCGCCGGAGGGGGCGGGAACGCGCACCTCGCGTCCCCATCCCCGGAGGAGGAGGAGGTGGGCGCCGCGCCGCGCGGGAACGGCGGCGTCGAGAGCGCAAACGCGAGAGCGTTCCGGGAGACCGAGACTTCTTTTTTCTTTCCCGCGAGCCCGGACGATCGAGCGGTCGCGGGGGAAGGCCAGGTCACGCTGCGGACGCTGTTCCGCGACGATCCGTTCGCGTTCTTCGTCGAACTCCTCGCGCGGACGTCGCTCGCCGTTCCCGGGACGTTCGCGTCCGCGGAAGGGTTCGCGGGCGCGCGCGCGATCGCGCGCGTCGTCGCCGTCGTCGTCGTGACGCGCGCGGCGACGGCGCGCGGCGCCGACGCTTTGGGGACAGGGACGGGGACGGGGATCGGGGACGGGGACGCTTTGGCGGCGGCAACGGCGGAGTCGACGTCCGACGCCGCCGCCGCCGACGACGACGGAAAGACGTCGACGAAGTCCTTCGCCGAGACGCAGCGCGCGTTCGCGGCGTGCTTGCGTTTACTGCACGCGGAGGGGGAAGAGGAAGATGGAACGTCGACCGCCGCGACGACGACCGAAGCGATCGCGAGCGACGTCGCCGGCGCGCTGTGGCGCGTCGACGCGACGCTCGACCTCCTCCGCGGCGCCGCCAAGGCGCCGCCGACGCTCTCCGAATTCGAACGCTCGAGCGACAGCTCAGGCGGCGACGCGCGACCAAGTAGCGCGACGCAGCTCGTCTCCGGGGTGTTGCGGAGGCTCGGGTTCGGCGCGCGCGATCCGGTGGCGCGCGTCGCGAGGCTCCTGAGTCGCGCGTGCGGCGGCGGGGATTTTGTCCGACTTTGTCCGACTTTGTCCGACGCGGCGTCGCCGCCGTTCGACGCCGAGCTCGCGGAGAAGCTCCTCGCGACGTGGACGTCGTCGCGCGGCGAAGGCGGCGACGACGGCGGCGACGCCTCGCGGCGTTGGAGGAATTTGAGGAAGTTGGCGCCCTCGCCGCCGCCGCCGCGTCCGCGGCTCGTCCCGCTTCCGCGTCGATGCGAAGACGTCTATCTCCGCGTCGTCGACTTGGCGTGTAAACGCTGCGGCGTCCCGCCGAGGGACCCGGCGCTGTGCCTGGCGTGCGGCGAGCTGTGCTGCTGCGCGGGGTTTTGCTGTCGGAGAGGAAGGCACGGCGAGTGCGCGCGCCACGCCGCCGCGTGCGGCGGCGGCGTCGGCGTCTTTCTGCTCGTCAAGTCGACGAAAATTTTGCTCCTTCGAGGCGCGAGGATGTGTCTGTATCCGTCGATATACCTCGACGCGCACGGCGAGGAGGACGAGTTCCTGAAGCGAGGGCGGCCGCTGTTCCTCGATAGAGAGCGGTACGCCGCGCTGAGCGAGCTGTGGTCGCACGGCGCGCTCGATTACGACACCCTCGCTTTGCACACGAGCAAGGTGGGATCGGACTTTTACTAGTGCTTGATCGCGAGATGAAACGTGAACCCTTTCAAAATGTAGAACCAAAATTCGATGAAAAACCAAAAAGCCCCGATGAGAATCGATTCGTTCGAAACCGCTCGCGTCCGACCGCGACGGTTCGCGTGAGCGCGTTCGGCCACGTCACGGACACGTGCGTTTGCGCTTCTCGGCCGCTTGTTGTTCGGAAAGCGTTATCCCTGTTCGCGCGCCCCTCAAACGCAAATACGCACGCACGCACCCCCTCACGCACGATGTCCGCTTTCCTCGGTTCCAAGATCGTCGCCAAGGCGACCCCGGTCGTCGCCAAGCGCGACGTCACCGTCCGCGCGGCGTCCGCGTCCGAGTGCGTCGATCCCCTCGGCGTGACCGGCGCGGTCGTCCCTTCCCCTCGAAACTTTTCCCGAGCCGTCGGATCGATCGATCGATCGAGCGATCGTTCGCGCCTCCTCCGAGACTGGTCCCCATACGACCCCGTTCGCGTGGTGAACGCCGATCCTTAAGGACTTTTGCCGGCGATTCTCTCCGCCCAGGGTCCCTCGCTTTTAATCCCCGCCCTCGACGCCCTCGACGCCTCCCCGCCCTCGACGCCTCCTCCGAGACCCCCGCGCGTCCGTCCGTCCCTGACGCCTCCCTCCCTCCCTCCCTCCCTCCCTCAGCGGCGTCAACCGCCGCGCGGCCGTCGCCGGCGTCATCGCTCTCTTCGCGTCCGCCGCCGCGTCCCCCGCGAACGCGGAGACGAAGCGCGTCGCCAAGAGGGAGAAGGACACGCGCCCGAGGTACCTCCGTCAGGTGCGTTCTATACACTGGTCCCCATACGACCGCGTTCGCGATGTGGACGCCGATCCTTAAGGACTTTTGCCGTCGTCTCTCTCCGCCCACACCTCGGTTTCAATCCCGACACGCCTCGACGCCTTTCAACTCCGCTTCTGACGCCTTTCAACTCCACCCCGACGTTCGCTCGTATGGAACGACCCTCAGTCTGGCGGCGGGGGCCAGGGCGTGAACAAGCCGCCGCGCGCGACGCTCAAGTCCAAGCAGGACGAGATCATGAAGGCGTACGGTATTCCCCTCCCGGGCCAGTAAGTTATGTGATGATAGCCCCACTCATCATTCTTTCCTCAACGTGTTGATACACCGAAGACGTCGATCGAGCTCTCAATCATTTGCGACGATCTGCTCGCGCGCTGAGGAAGAAATCATGAAGGCGTACGGCGTTCCCCTCCCGGGGCGGTGAGTTTATGATAGCCCCACTCATTCTTTTCTCAACGTGTTAATTAATACACTTAAGACGTTGATTGATCGAGCTCTCAATCACGCGACGATCTGCTCGCCGCGCGCGCTCGAGTCTCATCAAATCTCACGTCGCGTCTTCGCGCTCCCGTCGCCGCGCCTCCGCCGCGATTCGCTCGCCCCATCCGCCGCCGCCTGCGTGGGTGAAGCGATCGGTCAGTCGAACGTCTTACCGGTCAAACGTTGAAAGGGAAGCGCGGGTGAAGAGTGACGACGGGAAAAGTCCTTAAGGAACGGCATTCACCACGCCACCGCGGTCGTATGGGAAGCAGTCTCACCTCCGCCGGGAGTCGTCGACTCCGACTCCGACCCCGACGCCGCCGCGCGCGCCTTCCGTCTCTCCGCGCCCCCGCGCCCGCCCCCGCGTCCCCGCGCTCCCCTACCCCTCCCTCCTCGACCGTAATACGCGTCCCTCGCGGCGGCGGCGTCCTCTCTCTTCGCCGCCAGCCGCCTGCGACGCGCGGGGGGGGGGGATCGGATCGGGGGACGCGATCGGTCAGTTCGCGTGCTCACGCGGCGTCGTGCGATGCGATTGGTTAAAACACACGATCGATGATGACGCGTCCGATCGCGCGGCCGAGAGAGACGGACGCGATGGATCCGACCCGCGAACGGACTGGAGGCGGCGTAGTCATCGTAAGGAGTCTCGGCGGTGTCGTCAATCAATCACCTCGCGACGGCGGCCGCGATCGCCTTCAGCTCGTCCCCTCGCAGCGCCCGGACGCCGCCAACCTCGAGCTCGCCGAGCTCGAGCCCGCCGAGCGCGACGCGACGTAAGCGCAGCACGTCGACGCCGATCGCCTCGCACATCTTGCGGATCTGCCGGTTGCGGCCTTCGCTCAGCTGGAACCGAAGCGTCGCGACGTCCGAGGAGGCATCCGCCGCGAGGACGTCCACGCCGCACGGCGCCTGTGGTATGTGGGGGAGGATGTGATTGGGTAAAACACGCTGACGTGTCGGAATCGAGCGATGTGATTGGCTAAAACACACTGACGCGTCCCGGATCCGAGCGATGTGATTGGGTAAACCACGCTGACGTGTCGGATTCGAGAGAGAATCTCCTCTCCGCGCGCGCACCGTCGGCGCCGTCGTCGAGACCCCCCCTCGCTGCTGCGTCGTCTCGATCACGACGCCGCCGCGGAGTCGCCGCAGCTCCTCCTCACTCGGCGCGGGCCGCACGTCGACGTGATACGTCTTCGTCGCCTTTCGCGTCGGGTCCAGGAGCGCGTCCGGGACTCTGCCGTCGTCGGTCAGCAGCACCAAGCCGTCGCTGTCTCGGTCTAGTCGTCCGACGGGGAACACGCGGCGACCGTTCGTAACGCTCTTCGAACGGACGTTACTACTACTCCTCCTTCGATCATCGTTCCGGATACCGCCGCCGCCACCGGACAGCGCGCGGAGTTCGTCTTTCAGCGCGTACAGCATCGAAGACTGCTGGCTGTGCTCCATCGTGCACGTGACCCCGCGAGGCTTGTTGTAGACGAGATAGACGAACCCGCCTGAACCGCCTGAACCGCCGTCGACGGCTGCCTCCGCGGCGACCGCGAACGGCTCCCACTCGACCGTTTTTCCATCCAAAGTCACGACGTCGCCGCCGCGGACGCGCAGCGACGGGCGCACGAGCGACCCGTTCACGCGCACGCGCCCGGCGCTCACCGCGTCGTCAGCCTCTCGGCGTCTCAGGGTCGTTCCATACAAAGCGATGGCGGGGTGGAGTTGAAAGGCGTCAGATGGAGTTGAAAGGCGTCGATGGCGGGGATTGAACGCGAGGGATGGGCGGAGAGATGCGCCGGGCAAAGTCCTTAAGGAATGACGTTCACCACGCGAACGGGGTCGTATGGGGACCAGTGTATAGAACGCACCTCAGCCGGGGTAGGCATCGCACCAGCCGAAACCCCGGCCCGTCGTATCGCGCTGATGACGATGCGGGGGAAGACGACGCCGCGGCGTCGTCCGCGGCGTTGTCCGGCGGCGCGACGACGATGTCGGAGAGGATGCGCTCGACGTTGCGGCGCGTCACCGCCGCGCTCGAGCGCTCGTGCTCCGGCCGCGGACCCCCGAGCGGTCGTCGGCGCGCGTCCTCGCGATGATCGTTGTTACCCGCCCACCTAGGTAGTCCGCCGACGCCGCCGCCGCGGCCGCGGCCTCGAGCTCCGCGTCCTCGTCCGCCGCGTCCTCTGGAGGCGCCGCGGCCGGCGCCCCTTCCTCCGCGACTCGCAGACGCGCGGCAGACGCGAAGGAGCGACGACGCGGGGGCGAGCGTCGCCATCGTGCCGCGGCGACGCGCGACGCGTTCTGATGGTCGCGAACGTCGTCGTCACGCAGCAAGTTTACGTTGCGTCCAACATCACCATCATCACTCCTCCCTCGCGCGGGCGGGGGTCGCGGCCGGGGGCGATGCGCGCGCGTCCTTCGCCGGACGATGACGACGACGACGACGCGTCCTTCTCCGCGCGCGACGCGCACCCGGACGCGCCGCCGGACCTCATCGCGCGCGCGGACGCGTTCGCGCGCGCGATGGTGGACGCCGCGCGTCGCGACGCCGACGAGGTGCGTTCTACACACTGGTCCCCATACGAGCGCGTTGGCGTGGTGAACGCCGATCCTTAAGGACTTTCGCCGGCGCATCTCTCCGCCCACCCCTCGCTTTTAGTCCCCGCCATCGATGCCTTTCAACTCCACCTGACGCCTTTGAACTCCACCCCGACGTTCGCTTGTATAGACCGTCGCGCTCGCGTTCGACGACGACGACGACGGATCCATCTCTAATGACGCGCTCTTCGTCGCGGACGAACAGGACGCGGCGTCATCGGACGCGTACTGGGGTGGGTCGCGCGAGGCGCGCGTCGCGCGCCTCGAGGAAGAGCTTCGCGCGTACGCCGCGGAGAACGCGCGCGGGGTGACCGCGTACGGACGCGACCTGCGCGTGGATCTGAACGCGGCGAGGAGAGAAGCGGCGGTGCGTCGCGTCGCGGAGCGACGCGCGCGGCTGGAGGCTCGAGCGTCGTCGATGACGTCGTCGTCCGTGCGCACGACGACGACGACGACGATGCCGCCGGGATCGCCGCGCGCGAAAGAAGTCGCGGAGCTGTTCGCGCCGCTGTCGCTGCCGTCGTCGCCGGTTCGCGCGATCGCGCGCGGCGACGACGACGACGACGACCCGTCGCCGGCGAAGCGTTCGAATCGTCCGTCGCCTCGGCGTCGTCCGAAAGGCGGAGGAAAGAGCCCAGGCGTGCTGAACATGATCGCGCGTCTGGAGCGCACGCTGTCGACGGACTACTCCGGCGAGCTGCGCGTGGAGAACGGACGCGACGTCGACGCGTCTCCGAGCGGCGCCGCGGAGGCGGAGGCGTCGGCGCGGCGGATGACAACATCATCGGACGAAGAGACGTCGTTGGACGACGAGAGAGAGACGGGGGGCGGTCGATCCGTCTCCGTCTCCGTCGCCGCGCGCGTCGCGAGGCTGAGCGGCCCGGGCGACGGCGACGGCGGCGGCGCGCCGTTCGACGCCCCCCCGCGCGCGGACGACGCGTCGGCGGACGAAGTCCTTAAGGAACGGCGTTCACCACGCGAACGCGGTCGTATGGGAACCAGTCACGACGTCTCTTCGCTCGCCGCCGCCGCCGCCGCCGCCGCCGCCGCCGCGCCGAGCGCCCTGGACGCGTTGGACGGGTACTTCGCCGCCGCGGAGGACGCGTCGAAGCGCGCGAGGGAAGCGCACGCGAGGGTGGACGCGCTCACGGCGAAGATACGCGCGCCGTCGTCCACGTGGAGGTCGGCTATTGGTCCGACGCCGCGGCGGCGGTCGCCGGCGTCGTCCGCCCCCGAGACGACGCCGGGTTCGAATCGATCGACGCGGTCCGACGACGCCTCTTCGTCCGACGCTTCATCGCCCGCGATCAAATTCCCGCCGCTGCCGCCGCACCGGTTCAGCGTCCAGTCCGGAACGAAGGCGCTCCGCGTCGCCGTGCGCGCGCCGTCGATCGCGGACGTCATGACCGCCGCGAGCGCGGAGTCGACGCGAAACGCGACGGCGCGCAGAGTGCGAGCGGTTGAGGCTTTCGTCGCGAACGCGCGAGCGGAGAGCAAGACGAGACGCGCGGCGGCCGCGGCGCCCGGGGCGGTGCTGGCCGCGGCGGCGAAGGCTGGGGGAGTGGACGCGCTCGCGGAGTTGATGGCGCGGAGAGATGCGACGGCAAAAGTCCTTAAGGAACGGCGTTCACCACGCGAACGCGGTCGTATGGGAACCAGTCACGACGACGACGACGACGAATGACAATGACGAGTGACGAATGACGAATGAAGAAGGGCGGTTCGGGGCGGCGCGTCCGCCGCGTTGAGAGTCCTCCTAGCTAGCTAGAGTACTTACTACGAGTCACGGCGGCGGCGGCGGCGGCGCGGGCTCGCGTCGCTGCGTCCCGTCGTTCTCTTTCCACACCTCGCCGCCTTCGAACGTCTCCTTCTTCCAGATTGGCACGGTCGCTTTCAACTCGTCGATAATCCAACCCACCGCTTCGATCGCGTCCGCGCGGTGCGCGCTCGACGCGGCGATTATCACCGACGTCTCGCCGACGCCGACGACGCCGACGCGGTGCGCGATCGCGATTCGAAGCAGGCCGTCCCAGCGAAGGCGCGCGAGGCGACACAGCGCGCGCATCGTTTTCAGCGCCATGGCGTCGTAGCACTCAGGTCGTTCCATATGAGCGATTGTCGGCGTGGAGTTGAAAGGCGTCAGTCGGAGTTGAAAGGCGTCGAGGGCGGGGATTGAAAGCGAGGGGTGGGCGGGAAGATGCGCCGGGAAAAGTCCTTAAGGATCGGCGTTCACCACGCCAACGCGGTCGTATGGGAACCAGTGTATGGGACGCACCTCATACTCGAGCGTCGAGACCTTCTTTCCCTCGAAGGTGTCGCGCGTGACGCCGACGAACGTGGAGATGGCCCCCGCGGCGTCCGCGCGGACGCGCGCGACGATAGCCTCGAGCGATAGCGCGGACGGGGATATCTCGAGATGTTCCTCCGTCATGACGGCGGCGGCAGGCGCGCGCGCGCCCGCGGCGTTCGCGCGGAGGGAAATAATTGAGAATGTAGGTTTCGGAGTTCGCGAGATGATGAAAGCGCCCCGACGACCGCGCGTCATCACATCCATCGTCGCCCGCGCGGCACGACACGATGACGTGCCGCATCTCGCCGCCGCGCGCGTCGACGTCGACGCCGACGCCGACGCCGCGCGCGGCCGTCGTCGCCGCTCGCGGCGTCGCCCGCGAGGTCAACGCCGCGGTCGTCGCCCCGCGCCGTCCGCGCGCGTCGAACCTCGTCGTCGTCGTCGCGCGATCGCGACGTAAACGCGCGTCCTCCCGCGTCGTCGTCGTCGCCGCCGCCGACGCGTCTGAAGACGACGCCGCGGAGACGCGGGAGAAGGCCCCGGACGCCCTTAGCGCCGCGAGCGCGAAAGAACGCATCGACCGCGAGAACCTCGACGAGCGGTACTACAGAGGCTTCCTCGAGTCAGGTCTGAGCGAGGCGGACGACGCCGACGTCAACGTCCCGGGAGGGCGCGAGACGCTGAGCGCGTCGATGAGATTCGCCGCGCAGGCGGCGGCCGTGCTGGTGATGCTCACCGCGGGGTTCATGTACAGCAACGGGCTGTTAGGAGGAGGGAACTAGCGGCGCGGCGCGGACGGAGGGAGAGGAAATGCATGCGAGAGTGGGGAGGAGTCGACGACGACGGCGCGGGCGAAGGCAGTCGCAAAAACCAAAACCTTAAAAATCAGTTCGATGTTCGATCACCGCGACTCGTCCACGACCCACTCGTCTTCTCCCTCGCCGTCCTTCTGCTCCTCCTCCATGACGTCCCTGAACGCCTGGAACACGCTCGCGGGCTTGTACGTGAAGAAACCCAAGAGCATCGGTATCGGCGAGAGCGCGAGCCCGACGTCCTCCGCGAAAAAAGTGTTCCACCGGTTCAGAGCCATGAATAAAATCACCGGGACGAGGATCGACGGCGGGCCGCCCTGCCCGCCGCCGCCCGCCTCCGCCTTGGACGCGAGAAGCTTGACGTAGAACAGCGCGCCCGCGGACCCGAACGCGAACGAGCTCCCGAGCGGCACGCCGCCGACGAAGAACGCCGCGACGGTCCCGCTGCCGCACAGTCCCGCCGTCGTGAGCAGAAGATTCTGTACGCGCGGGGGCGGAGTCGAATGAGTCGAATGAACGGCGTCAGAAGCGGAGTCGAAAGGCGTCGAGGCGCGTCGGGATAGAAAGCGAGGGGTGGTGGGCGGAGAGAAACGCGCGCCGGGCGAAAAAGTAAAGTCCTTAAGAAACGGCGTTCACCACGCGGACGGGGTCGTATGGGGACCAGTGCGAATGCGAACGCGCCTGCTTCACCCGCTCGTACGAGTCATCCGCGGCTCTTCGCCGCTCCGCTTTCTCTGCCTCGGTCAGCTCCCGTCCCGGCACCACGGGCTTCAGGTCCTTCGGCCGCAGCTTCCGCATCTGCGCAGTGCTGAACTTGCTCTTCGCGTACACCGGGTTCTTCTTCGCCTGGATCGCCTCGCCCTTCTCCCACTCGCGCTGCCACCGTTTTTGCTCCGCCTGAGGGTCGAGGGTCCGCGCGAAGCGATGATATTGGGGTGGAGTCGAAAGGCGTCAGAAGCCGAGTTGAAAGGCGTCGAGGTGTGTCGGGATCGAAAGCGAGGCGTGGGCGGAGAGAAACGAACGCCGGGAAACAAAGTCCTTAAGGATCGGCGTGCACCACGCCGACGCGGTCGTATGGGGACCAGTGTACAGAACTAGAACGCGCCTTCGTCGGCGCGTAGTTCCACCCGTCGAGGTCGTACTTGGACTTCTCCTTTTTCGTCGTCGCGAGATCGATGGCGGACAGCGACGACGCGCTTCCCGGGTCGTCGACGTCGCCCTTGAGGAGCTTCGGCGGCGCGTCCGGGCCGACGCCGCCGACGACGCGCACGTACGCGGGCTTCTTCGCGCCGCCGTCGCCGTCGCCGTCGCCGTCGCCGTCGCTCTTCTTATTCTTCTTCGGTCGCAATCGCGCGGAGAGATCGACGGTCGGATCGTCCAACATGTTCCGCGACGCGAACCCGAGGCCGGTCGCCGCCTTGATCTCCTCGCGCTTCGCCGCGTCGCGCTTCGCCTTGTCCTGCCTCTCGAACTCCGCCTCAAGATCGACGTCCCACATGCGGACGTTCCGCCGCTCCCACACGTTGACGGCTTTAGGGGGCGCTCCCGCTTTCGCTTTCGCGTTCGCTTTCGCGTTCGTTCGCTCGCTCGAATCGTCGTCGGACGCGCCGGCGGCGGCGGCGGCGACGACGCGTTCGGACGCGCCGCGGCGCGACGCGCGCGTCGTCGCGGCGCGGCGCCGCGGCGCCCCGCGCGCGGTCGCGCGCGACGCGAGCGCGGGGAGGGCGAGCGTCGCGGGCATGGCGTCCGCGTTGTGATGAGGGCGCCGTGCCCCCCGGGTTTTAGGTCAGAAGTTTATCCAACCGTCGTCCACGTCGTCGTCCAGTCGTCGTCGTCGTCTCCGCCATCGCGCCGCGCGCGTCTCCTCCCACCGCGCGACGATGGCCTCGACGCTCGCGCCCTCCCTCGCGGCGTCCTCCTCCCCCAACGCCGCGGCCGGCCGCGCGCGCGCCGCGTCCTCCTCCAGCGCGCGGGGGCGCGTCGCCGTCGTCGCGCGCGGGGGATCGGGCGCCGCCTCCGCCTCCGACGACCGAAAGGAAGAGCTCGCGCGCATGCGCGCTTCGGTCCAGCTCGCGTCCATGAACCCCTCGCAGGAGACCGTCGTGTCCGCCATCCTCGACCTCTCGAGGCAAGAGTTCGGGCTCGTCGGCGTCAAATTCGCGGAGATCATGGCCAAGGTGGGGGAGTGCTATCGCTTCGACGCGACCGCGTCGTACGTCAGGCGCGTTCTCCTCGCCGCCGCGCTGGTCCCACATTATTACGATCCCGTTCGCGCGGCCGGCGCGGCGCGCGCCGTTCCTTCTCGAGGACTTTACCGTACTCACCGGCGCATCTCTCCGCCCATCACCCCTCGCTTTCGATCCCGACACACCGCGGCACCTTTGAACTCCGCTTCTGACGCCTTCAAACGCCACCCCGCCGTCGCTTTGAACGATGGACGCTCGACCCTCAGCGGGAAGGGCACCGACCTCGAGACGTCGAATCCCCCGGGCGTCAACGTCGGGTCTCTCAAGGTGCGTTCTGTACACTGGTCCCCATACGACCCCGTCGGCGTGGTGAACGCCGTTCCTTAAGGACTTTTCCCGGCGCATCTCTCCGCCCAGGGTCCCACGCTTTCAATCCCGACACACCTCGGCGCCTTTCAACTCCGCTTCTGACGCCTTTCAACTCCACCCCGACTGTCAACGTCGGGTCTCTCAAGACGTACTACTTCGCGCACCTGCACGGCCTGGACGAGGCGAGCACGCTCAGGCTGTTCTGCGAGCACTACCAGGACGTGTTGGCGACCCCGGACGGGGACTCGCACGCGAACATACGCGCGTTCATGGGGAACGGGTGGGCCGGGATCGCGTTCGACGGCGAGGCGTTGCGGTTGCGCGACGGCTCGGAAGAGGACGCGGACGTCGACCAGGTGTAAGTAGGCCTCCATGGAATACGGAACGTCAACCGTCGTCACACTGGTCCCCATACGACCGCGTCGGCGTGGTGAAAGCCGATCCTTAAGGACTTTCTCCATGGAATACGGAACGTCAACCGTCGCGGACATAGTATCATGAGTGTATTACGACGCGCGCTGCCGCGCGATGGTAGTATTCACTACTATTCGAGCGAGGGCGCCGCGCTAGTCGCGTTGAGGTGGTCGTTCGCTCGTCGTCGTCGTCGTCCTCACGCCGTCGCGACCTCTTCGCTGCTCACCACCTCCTCCTCCTCCTCCGCCGCCGCCGCATCCGCCAAAGCCTCCAGCACGTTCGCGCCGGCGAGCGCCTTGCTCACGCGCTTCGCCGTCGGGCGGTCGGCGCACGTCACGCGCACGCGCCGCTCCGGGAGCCCGTGCACGGGAAGCTCGCCGAGCATCCGCCTCGCCTCCTCCTCGATCGCGCGCGTCTCGCGCGCCTTGGCCTCCCTCGCCGTCGCGATCGCCTCCGGGGCGTTCGCTTCCATCGCCGCTCGCGTCGCCTCCGCGGTCGCGCGCTTCGCGAGCAGCTCGCGCACGAGCTCCGCGACGTCCGCGTCCGCGTTGGTCTTCCCCGGGAGGGACTTGAGCTCGCGGACGGCGTCGGCGGCGGCGGCGGCGGCGGCCTCCGCCGCCGCGACGTCCGCCGCCGTCGGCGGCGCGGCGCTCTTCTTTTTCTTCTCCGACAACCCGTCCGACAATTCCACGTCAGCGTCCGACATTTCCGACATTTCCGGCGGCCCCACAACGAGCTCGGTCACCCTCGACGCCTCGACCGCGCGCATCATCGCGTCCAGCGGCTCCTCGTCGCCGCACTCGTCGATCACGGAGACGATCCCGTCGCCGCGTCCATCGCCGCTCGTCGTCGTCTCCGAGGCGGCGGCGGCTCTGGCGACCGATTCGATCCGCGCGCGAATCGCGCCGTCTCGCTCCACCCTCAGCGTCGACACGTCGATCACGATCTCGTCCTCGCCCTTCGTAGGCTCCTGCTCCACGCACACGAAGACGGAGTTGATCGCGTCGCAGTACAGCCGGTGCGTGTTCACGAGCGCGTGCCGCCGCGGCGCGAGGTCGTCGCGTTGCTTCGTCGCCAACTCGACGAACCTGTTTGGACGAGGACGTATACGTGTCATTAACGCGCGCGCGCGATTGGTTGATCGAAAATCGAGTGTACACGTGGCACGCAAAGGTAAGGAGATGAATGAATCGAGTCGCGGCCGGAGAGGGAAGAATCATTCGATTCGCACCCGCCGCCGCCGACGCCCTTCGCGAACCCGCCGACGCCCGGCCCTCGTCTCTTCGCTCGCTCCCACGCCTCGCGCTCGTCCCTCGTCAGGCGATACGGCGCCTCGCGCTCGACGACGCCCATGGACTTGGTCTTGTCGCCTCGCGACGCGCGCTCGACGTCGTCGATGGACGCGCGGCCGCTGAGAGTCAGTCGCGTTCCACGGGGTGGAGTTGAAAGGCGTCAGAAGCGGAGTTGAAAGGCGTCAGAAGCGGAGTTGAAAGGCGTCGAGGTGTGTCGGGATTGAAAGCGAGGGACCCTGGGCGGAGAGAAACGCCGGGAAGTAAAGAAAGTCTTTAAGGATCGGCGTTCACCACGCCGACGCGGTCGTATGGGGACCGGTGTAGGCCCTATAGACGAGAACGCGCCTCACGTAGCGCTTGTAGGATTTGTTCGTGCGCTGCGACCGCGTCGTCTTGCCCTTGCCCTTGCCGCCGCGCGTCGCGCCCTCGCCGACGCCGCCGGTGTTGAAGCGCTCCGCGCCCTTGCGGAAGTGTATCGAGCGCCCGGAGTCCTTGTTCTTCGCCTTCGGGGAGCCGGCGAGGACGACGAGACGACTTCTGCATCGGGATCGGCGCGCGACGACGCATCCCGACGCAAAAGCATCCCGGAACGCGTCGTCGTCGCGCGCGAGTCGCCGTCGCGATGCGGCGCGGAGGAGCGGCGACGCGCTCGCGGCGCGACGCGCGACGACGCGCGACGACGCGACGCGCGTCGTCGCGGCGAGCGCGCGATGCGCCATCGCGCCGCGGGAGGAGGAGGAGGAGGAGGAGGAGGACGGGCGGCGCGAGAGAGGGCGCGCGCGCGGCGTCGTTAAATGACGTGGCTTCCGAGAGACCGCCGCTGCGTTGCGTTGCGTTGTCGACTTCGAAACGGCCGTGGTCGTACTCGGCCGGTCGGCGTTTCTTCCTTCCGCCTCGGGGTGGTCAACGATGTCATTCGTCGCGACAACGACGCGCGCGGCCTGCCCTGGCCTCCCGCGCGACGCCTCCGACGACGCGCGCGCCCTCGCGGGGATGCCATCGAGCCCCGCGGCCGCGTGATCGACGCGTCGGGGCGAGGAGGAGGAAGAGAGACGCGCGGCGGATCTCGCGCGCCCCGCCGACGTCGAAATCAATCATCTGAGAGCAACAACTAGCCGAGAGAGCCGCGAGCGACCATGGGGCCTCTGCGCGCGCTGAACGCGCGCGCGCCCGCGCCGGTGCCTTCCTCCGCCGCGCCCCCCAAACCCGCGCCCGCGCCCGTCGTCGTCGCGCCGAGGACGAACACGACGCGCATGGACGACTTCTCCGTCGTCCGGAAGCTCGGGCGAGGGTCGTTCGGGGAGGTGTTCGCGTGCGTGCGTCGCGACGACCCGTCGCGACGGCTCGTGGTGGTCAAGAAGATCACGATGGGGGCGAAGCGAAGCGACCAGGAGGACGCGATGAACGAGTGCCGCGTGCTCGCCAAGTTGGACTCGCCGTACGTTACGAAGTACTACGACTCGTTCGTGGAGAACGGCGGGAAGGAGCTGTGCATCGTGATGGAGTACGCCCCAAAGGTGCGCGCGGGAGGAGGACGGATGCGATGCCTCGCCTCGAGAGGATGATTCAACGACGACTCTATTTTTTCGTTTTTCGAAGCGATGAGCGACCTCTCGCTCCTCGCTCCTCGCTCGCGCCGTCCCGCCTCGCGACCCTTCTTCTCTTCTCCGACTCCTTCTGACGCGTCGTCCTCCCTCCCTCCCTCCCGTCGCTCCGATGTGCAGGGCACGGTGCATCAGCTCGTGCGCGCGTCGCCGCCGGGGCGACTCGACGAGTCGACGATCTGGAAGCTCACGCTCCAGTCCGCGCTCGGCTTGCATCACATCCACCGGTTGAAGATTCTCCACAGGGACATCAAGTCCGAGAACATATTTCTGGACGCGCGCGGGGACGCGAAGATCGGCGACCTGGGCGTCGCGAAGGTGATGTCGCACGAGGGGTCGCTCGCGCGGACGCTTGTCGGGACGCCCTACTACCTCTCCCCGGAGCTGTGCGAGAACAAGCCGTACGATCACAAGAGCGACGTGTGGAGTTTAGGGTGCGTCATCTACGAGATGCTCACCGGGACGCATCCGTTCCACGGGGACAACCAAGGCGCGCTGTTCATGAAGATTCTGCGAGGGAAGTACCCGCCCGTGAACGAGCGCGCGTACGGGGAGGACATACGCGCGCTGCTGGACCGGTGCCTCGCGAACGACGTGCGGACGCGGTTAGACGCGAGGGGTATTTTACGAGGGAAAGCGGCGAGGGAACGCGCCGCGGCGTTAGGGTTGGACCTCCCCGAGGAGGTCGCGCCGCCGGCGAAGATCGGCGGGAGCGGTGGCGGGCGCGGCGGCGGCGGCGACGGCGCGCGAAGGCCTCCGAGCGGTGGACGGCCGCCGACCGCGGGGGCGGCGCGAATATCGC